CTGATGGCCTGCCAGTAATGAATGGTGGATCACACAGGTTCTGTGAGCCAGATCCTTGGAATATACTGGAGATACCATGGTGAAATAATGGGCAGAAGACCAGACATTTGGAGTAAGGTTGAAGAGCCTTAAAAGAATAAATTTCAGTAAAGGCTGAGCTGTGGGTGTAGGAGGAATTTTGAGTGGAGGGCTAGCGATGGCTGACAGAACCTAGGAAAGAGCCTGGCACAAGGGGTTGGTAAACTAAGCCCTACTGCTGAAAGATGGATAATCAGAAGAGTGGGCCAAGTTAGGACACTCTTAACGGAATGGAAAGCCCTTGAAAAATGGAAATCCATAATAGTACTGCTCACATCTGTGAAATCATATTGTTATAATTACAAGTGATATTAAAGAACAGTTTAAAATTCCCTTTTAATCAACAGATATGTAAACAGACTTGAAGAGGTGAAATAGGCTGATTCACATCACATGGCAAATTAACTAAGAAACTTGTGGGAGGAGAACCCAGGAGTGCTAAGTCTCAGTCTAGGTGTTTGTTCCCACTAAACTTAAGATTCTTCCTTACAGAAGAAGTAAGCTTCCTAATCCTGCTATGAGGTTAATGCAATTCATAAAATTTCAGTGAACCAATTTCTCATGAAGCAGCAGCAGGTGGCAGTGGTTGAGGAGGTAGGCTGGGTTGGATTTTCACTGAGGCCTGTTCCCACTGGGTCCTAACAATGAACTAGTAAAGAAGTGGAATTCAGAGAGGAGTGGAACAGAGGTCATCTCTTTCCCAAACTGCCCTTTGTTAGTCTTGATATCCCCCCTCTGTAAGTCCCTCCCTAGACAAAAATCCTCCAGAAAAGCTGTTCCCGAACAATCTCCTTACAAGGACTTCTGGATGCCTGTTAAATTAGAACAGGTTGCAGCTCATAAATAAGTGCCCACAGAGAAGTGGGGGCAGGTATAAAAATAAACGGAAGGCTTGCTTTAAAGTAGTTTAGGAGTGAACAGAGTTTACAAATACAGAAACACATGGGAAGATGTTTGTGTCAAATTCCCACACCAACAGCTTTCCTCTAGTCAAAATTCTTGGTAGCTGAGTGGGAGCAAGTGTGGGAAAGAGACAGGGAAAAATTAGAGAGGGTTAATATAGTGTCTTGGTGTTTCATTCTGTTTCACTTCAGAAAGAGAGATGTGCTACAGCTCTAAAGAGAACTATTTAAATTATGATGGCGATTATGTAAAAATATGCATGGGGGCAAGGTCTTGAAAGTAATAAGAAAAAATGAAAATAATTGTGTTGGGGGGGGGAGGATTACTGATGATTACCTCCCAAATCCTAAATACTGTTCAACATTTTTAATGAAATGTTTTAGCATTTCAAATTTTGATTACTGGCTGTCTAGTTAACCTGATTTATAAAATCACAGCGCCCCCAAATTCTTGTTTGCTGTCCATTACAGCAGTTTTTAGGATCTCAAAACACTGGAAACTATCTAAATGTTTTAGAGGACAGATTAAATAGACTGTGGTCCAGTAGAACCACTATATAGTATATAAAAAGGAAGACAGAGACCTGAGTGTGTACATATGGAATGGTCACCGAGACAGAATAAATGCACAGAGGCAGTGTAGGGCAGTGAGTCCAGTTTAAGTATGTACAAACATGCAAATATGTATCTACTCATAAAAATTTCTGGAAGGACTTCCAAGAAAGTTGGTAATGGTTACACTTATCTAGGGAATTGAAGGTCCAAAGTGAGTGGCAGATTCACCTTTCATGATATGAACTTCTATACTGTTTGAAAATAAATATATATATATATATATTAAAAAATTTAAATATGACATACTGGTGTCACTTTTATAACTGTTAACTTTCTAGGCAATGTTCTAAAGGTATTCTTCCTAAGTGGTCTGAAGACAGAGGAACCAAAAGTCCTATTCTTGTCCCCATACTTAGAAAACAGACAATCTGATTATGCCTAGAGTTGCCAAAATGTGGAGGCAATGTGTGAAAAAACTAAATATGCTCATCTTTCAGAGGGAGAGCTACTGAGATACACTGAGATGTATATACATAAGTACAGCTGAAGAACTGGGTCAGCCTCCCACCAGGCCCTCCCAAATAAAGTAGCAAGAAAAGGAACTGTTTACTCTTCTCTCCTTGCAGGTCCTAGGAGTGTTCAGTACTTTAAAAGATGCACATCACTCCAAATCCACAGAACCACCCTAAAGCCCTGGGAATCATGCTATCTCTCAAATATTCTTCACAAAGTTTGACCCAAACCATTCGCAGGTCTCTCTGGGATCAGATCAATATTCTAGAGCTTCTTGGAACCAGAACAGTGTGCCTGGATACAGAAGACTGACTTAAACAGGGGAGGAAACACACATCTTCTAGCCTCCCTTTATGGGGCGTATTCCTGGGCCCCTTTGCCAAATGATGCATGTGGCTTGCACTTTCACATTCTGACCACTTTTCTACAGGACACATTACATTAGCTTTCAAAACTTCTCTTTGTTCTCCTATATTTCAGGTTCCAACGAGAGGCTGTCTCACTATAAATTCACCAGAAAGGATGGCAAAATCTTCCTGCCCTTCCCTCCTGGGCATCTCAGCCTGAAGGATGTTCAGAGAGTTAATTAGACCATAGATGGTGGGCAAGGCGTAGCTTCTCATACAGGACTTGAGCAGGCATAGCCTTCAGTCTAGGCCCCCAGAGAGGGAAAATCCACTGACTCACGACAGCCACATACTGGCAGGTTTGGACACGTAGAAGAATAGGAGATGGAAATGGACTTTGATGGGGAAATGGCAGGAGATCAAAGGGTGCTGGGCACTCAGTGAAGATGGCAGACAGCAGACAGACAAGGGGTGGGCCACAGGGCCCAGCATGGGATGGCCTGACTCAGCCAGCTCACTCTCTCCCCACAAACATGCTGCCCCATGGAACTTAAGAGGGAAGTATTTTCTTGGTTAAGTTAAAAATCACTTGTGTTCAACACATTTCCTCATAATTTCTGACATAGATGAAGAATACTTGTTCATGATACTTCTTATCACTGACAATCACACTAAGCCTCCCAGCTCTGGTCTACTGAGAGTTTTTACTTCATTTGCAAGGGCTTTTGCCTCATAATTTCTGACATAGATGAAGAATACTTGTTCATGATACTTCTTATCACTGACAATCGCACTAAGCCTCCCAGCTCTGGTCTACTGAGTTTTTACTTCATTTGCAAGGGCTTTTATGTGTGCCTTTTCCTCTCACTCTCCCTGATCTCTGTTGGTACCCTACAAGAACCTCCACCAGTGGCACAAGGCAAGAAAGAAAGCCCATTCATAAACCATTCTGGTACGTGCTGCTTTTATTTTTGAAACCAGAGGCTAAAATGATACCTGTGAATTTGATTAGCTATGCTGTTCTCCATGACAACAAATAAACCAAAACTAGCTGCACTTCTGGGAAGTAAAATTTCCTCTCTGCCTTCTCAGCTTGTCAAGTGACCTCGATACCTTTTAACCAGCAGGACTCTTTACGGAAGAATCTGGAGGAGGGTACAGTTATGAACTAGAGTTGGGGAGAATGTCCAGTTTCCTGCCTACTATGTAACTCTGTCCCCCAAAATGGATGTGGTGAGCTTTGTCTTAAATACAAATAGTTCTACTGTCATTATGGAGTTTTCTCACAGGGTTGTTTTTGTTTGTTTGATTATCTCACTGATCTTTTCACCAGATTTTCCACAAAGTCTGAAACTCCAAACTGGAATGCAGAGTCTAGCACAGGCTCCCTTCCTTCTCTGAGTCTATGGGATCTTCTCCACTCTGTGGATCCCAACGTTCTAGCTACTGTCTGCGTACAGGCTGTACCCACCAGCCGCACTGCGGCTGCTGACTCATGCTTACTTTGGGATCTGCTAGGACCCCAGCTCTTCGGCTCTTCAGCCACAATAGCCACCACCCACCTCACAGAGCACCCCATCCATTGCCTGCTGGAGTCTCAGCTCTGACCTACTAAGTCTTCCCCAAATCTGTGGCAGTTTACCTGGCCCTGCANCCTCATAATTTCTGACATAGATGAAGAATACTTGTTCATGATACTTCTTATCACTGACAATCACACTAAGCCTCCCAGCTCTGGTCTACTGAGAGTTTTTACTTCATTTGCAAGGGCTTTTGTGTGTGCCTTTTCCTCTCACTCTCCCTGATCTCTGTTGGTACCCTACAAGAACCTCCACCAGTGGCACAAGGCAAGAAAGAAAGCCCATTCATAAACCATTCTGGTACGTGCTGCTTTTATTTTTGAAACCAGAGGCTAAAATGATACCTGTGAATTTGATTAGCTATGCTGTTCTCCATGACAACAAATAAACCAAAACTAGCTGCACTTCTGGGAAGTAAAATTTCCTCTCTGCCTTCTCAGCTTGTCAAGTGACCTCGATACCTTTTAACCAGCAGGACTCTTTACGGAAGAATCTGGAGGAGGGTACAGTTATGAACTAGAGTTGGGGAGAATGTCCAGTTTCCTGCCTACTATGTAACTCTGTCCCCCAAAATGGATGTGGTGAGCTTTGTCTTAAATACAAATAGTTCTACTGTCATTATGCAGTTTTCTCACAGGGTTGTTTTTGTTTGTTTGTTTGATTATCTCACTGATCTTTTCACCAGATTTTCCACAAAGTCTGAAACTCCAAACTGGAATGCAGAGTCTAGCACAGGCTCCCTTCCTTCTCTGAGTCTATGGGATCTTCTCCACTCTGTGGATCCCAACGTTCTAGCTACTGTCTGCGTACAGGCTGTACCCACCAGCCGCACTGCGGCTGCTGACTCATGCTTACTTTGGGATCTGCTAGGACCCCAGCTCTTCGGCTCTTCAGCCACAATAGTAGCCACCACCCACCTCACAGAGCACCCCATCCATTGCCTGCTAGAGTCTCAGCTCTGACCTACTAAGTCTTCCCCAAATCTGTGGCAGTTTACCTGGCCCTGCACCGTCCCTGAAGCCCACCTGGAAGACGTCGTTGGCACACTTGCGGCACAGGTTGTGCTGGCAAGGCAGGATCACCACCGGTTTGGAGAACATTTCCAGGCAGATGGGGCAGATGAGCTGCTTCTCCAGGTTGTCCATGCTGTGTGCATCCCCTAGCAGCGGCTTGAAACCCACTGTGAAGTTCATCCCCTCAGCGATCGTGCCTGCCCTGGCCTTGGCCCTGGTCCTGGCCTTCTCTTACCGCCTCTGGACCCTTCCTCGTTTACCTTAGTCTGTGAATTCTTACGTCCCTTTCTGTTGCTCACTCTTGAAATAGCTCTGCTATCTCTCCTGTCCCTTCAACAACTTGTCTCGTCCTTAGCTGTCTCCAGACACTTCTGAGTCTCTATTCTTTGCTCTGTACCCTGGCCAGGCACATGTAGCTTTATCTATCCCTCCCTCCCTGTAAAATGCTCCTTTTGTTCCTCAAATGACTCTCTCTTGTTCACTCTGTGGGCAGCACTGTTTGTCCCTTACTCCCCAGGAAGAAGATTAATTTTACCATGGGGGTGGGGAGACAAGGGGCATCTGCATGACATTCCTACTCCCGATTTAGCTCATGTAAGGCGAGCCTCAGCTGTCACCGAGTGAGTGACCCTGACTCACTCGGGAATGAGTGACTCCCTTGAGCAAGAGCAGGGGTGAAGGGCATCACTGTTTATGGTGAAAGGTGGGCCAGCAAAGGTGTCGGTCTCTGCTTGCTCTCACTCTGGAGACTCCTATGAGCCCCGAACCCCCATCCTCTGGCTTGGGCCCTTCTTCCTGGACAGTGACACAGAATCTAAAACAGCCCATGTGAGAGGCCCCGTACATGGCTCAGGTGGCAGGAAAGATCTTGCCAGACCTACAGTCAGTGACAGTTTCCTCCTCCACAGGCTTAGCCAGTGACCCTGACCCACCTCTTCAAGGCTGTGTGGTTCAGAACAAGGGCATCAGAGACTAGAGAGAGCCTCTTGTCCAACCCTCCTGGTCCATTTTTGTTCTTGCCTAGCCCTTTCTTACATCACCCTAGGAAAAGACGCTCAAGAGGCCAGAAGTGACCATTGTGCCAGGGCTTGGAACTACCTTATGAGCATGCCCCTGAGAAAGTGT